GTCGAACTCCTGGCGCTCGCCGGCACCGGGATGTCGAGCGTCGGAGAGCGCTTCCCGCGCGGTGTCCGCGACCGCCTCGTGTTGTCCATTTGATAGATCTTCGCGAATTTATTCTATAATTATTCTAATTTGTCGCGACGACAAGTGTCGCGGGGCTCGCCGTCGCAGAGGCGATCGGACAGATAAATCTCCGGCGCTGAAGCTGCGAAGAAAATTACGAATTGCCGGCGGGTCAAGGCAGATCCGGCATTTATCTTCCTTCTTCGCCTCCTTCGCCTTCTTCGCCTTCTACGGCTCGCGCTGCCGATCGACGCGCCGGCACATCCGTTAACTGTCGCAGCCGCATTGGGCAGATGTAGCGCGCACTGTTGCGAAAGGCAATCCTCGCCTCCTCGCCTCGGGTCGAGACGCGCGGGCTGACAAGTGCATCGAGCTTGGACTCGCGCATGCTTTCGAGCTCCGGCTGGCAAAAATGCATGGAAAGTGGGATAAGCTGTTGATTCCGTTCGATTTGCTGAATTCAATTGAAATATTCCGTCCCGTCGGATTCGAGAGTGAGCTAAGCGAGCGTTTTAATGATGCACAACGCCTGCATTCTCGGCGAGCGGAGTCGCGATTTATCGATTCCTCTCACGCGATCGCGTCCGCGCCCAAAACGAATCTGCATATTCATGCCAGGCCGGTGTCCTACTGAAAATAAAAATATGACACCAGGACCTATCCGCGCGGCTAGGCCCGGTATGCGGGACACCTGTTATCGCGCTCTCAATGAACACCGTAGGCTGAGCGGAGTGAGGGAGAGAAGGAGAAGTACTGTTCCCGAAGCGGTTGCGTGCACGGCAGCGAGGTAGGAGGGAGGTATTCGCATTATAGGTGCCGACCCGAGGACCTACATTCGCCAAGACGCGGTGTGAGGGATGCCGCGAACGCGACGCATTTGCTCCTCTCTCCTTCTTTCTCTCTCTCTCTCTTTCCCGCCGGGTCGAGGAGGCCCCCCGTCTCTCGAAGTATTCGTGTCGGTGCTGGCCGACTGACTTAACAAGTGATTTTCGAATTCCGCCGCCGAGATTCTTCTGGAGAAATTATTGTTCGTTCATCTCTCCCTTCTCCGTGCGCGCCTCTAAAAAAAATCTTTCCTGTAAATAATTCCGCGTTGAGAAACTGAGTAGTTCAGCAGTGCGCAGTGTCCGATTTCTCAATCGGCACGCGATGACGTGATTAGCTATGAAATTAGCTGATATGAGTTGATGGCTTATCATTATCTCTGCTCGGAGCCGAAATTATAAATTCCTTGTTATCCCTAATTATATCTTGATTATTTTAAATATTTTTATTATTATTAGTGAAGGGATAAGTAATATTTGAAAAGAAAGTATTATTTGTTTACGGACTCGCCAAGAGACTTGTATTGTGTTGAAAAATCCGTAAAATTAATTTTAGGTTTATTTCTGCTCCTTTTTGGCTTCTTCCTAACAGACTTCTTTTACTGCAGATAAAATAGATTAGCGGTTATTTATATCTTTTTTAAAATACAAAGTTTCATCGTAATTAGGCATGTCAAAAGAAGTTGATATCGATAGAAGCGAATAAGAATTTATTTTACTATCGAAATTAATATCGCCATCTACGAGAGAAATGTTCTCATAATCTGGAAAATAATGAATAATTTGTTTATTAGATATTTGGAGCGCAATGTTGATTAAATTTGGATAATTTAAAAGGCGATACTCGGATACGAAAAGTTATGATACGACGGTGGCATTGAATTTTCCGCAGAACTCGTATTTTTTTCGAAGACGCGATAATCGAGATACAAATAATTCGCATGTTCAAAAATATTTAATTAAATGGTAATTGTTCAAATATTTCCAATGATACACTTTGCCTACACACATCATGATGCAATTTAAATGAAAGCATGGCAGATGTTGCGTTATCTTTTTATTTTTTTCTGTTGATTTGTTAGAGATAATTGTTCTATCTGCGTCTCTTCGAGAATTAAAGACTTGAACGTTTTGAAAAACGTCTTATTAAACAACGTTTCCTAAAATGGTTTAAAAAAATCTTTCTTTCTCGGCTCGGAAGGAATAGTGAGCATTTTACTTATTTTTTTATTTTACTAGAGAAAAATAGCGATGACAACTGAATATTTTTCTATCGCATCTCTCAATATAAAAAATATATAATATGAAACGTGTCTGCATTTGTGTAATATTCTTTATAATCATTTTTAAAATAGACGTGATGTAAACTTTCGAATAGACATTCGTTCCAAAGTTAAAAAGTGCTCTATTTTTATAATATAGCTTTTATACGATCCTTTTTCGTACTTTTTGTACTCTTTTGTATTTTTACATATTTCTCGTTGATGGTAAGATATTATAGCGTCAGTAAAATTGTGTATCGTGTCCTCATCGGACGCGGAACAAAATCAAATACGGGCAATTACGCATGTTCGAAGAATCGGAAGTCACTTTTACAAGGAAATTCGCACGAGGAAGAAACATACGGTGCATTCATCAAATAGATCGAACGTCAGAATCACACGTAATCGTTTCGATTGCTTCCACACGAAACGCGAATTACAAGTTCCGTCCGGACGTGTACAGTTCGCAAACCGCAGCGAATAATAATGACATTGCTTGAAATGTAAGAACTGCCAACAACTTCCGATTACCGAGAAAGTTGTCACTGATATCTCAAAAATTACTGTCATTGAATTGCTTAATTATGCTGTTTATTCAATCGTAGCAGATGTCCAGCATTTTTATTGAACCGCACGTTCTTTCGATAACAATTTTAAACAAATTTTTTTACAAAAATAATAATTGGAGCAATAACTTACAAGCGATTGAAGATAAAGAGTTTTCTAAAACGTAGATTTCTTGAAAAAATAAAAAATGTAACAAAATTATATCCTCTTCGATTTATTTTATACAAAAATTACATTATTTTCGTAGACACTTTATTCTCATATCATCTTCATTTTGGTGGAAATTTAATTTGAGACTTATACAAGATATATAAAATGGAAAGTTGGAAAGTTGAGATAAACGACGATCTTCCTCGACATTTTTTGCTAAGGGAAAATCGATCCCAAATTAACCAATAAATTACACTGTAAATTATTGATTAAATTATACGAATTCGAAGGAAGTATACTTAGTGAGGAACATCTCGTATGACATATTAAAGAGACATCGTCTTCATTCAGATCATCCGCCGTCAATTTATCGAGTATACTCGTGCTCCGACGCGTCGGGGTTCCGAATGGCACCAAGTTCCGAGGATGCCGAGAAAGATCGAATTGCAATTACGGGGCGTTATGGTGATTCCACCGTTAGGCCTTGCTATGCACCATCGGCTTCGTCCACTAATATTACGTTTACTGGCGTAAAACATCTGCCATTACCATCCACCGACTATCGGCTATAGCCTTGCATAATCTCAATACGGTTACGTATACTGTTAGTTCGGGCAGATGTTCCTTCGCAAGGCTACCCTTCGGACGGAAATCAGATTGCAGATTTACCACAAACGGGGATAACAGAAGGCGAATTAACGAAATCTTCGGAAAAGCGGCGTTTTAACCGCACGATAAATTATTATTCTATTCGAAAAATCACACAAATCAACAAGATGCTGTCTGAAGAGACGTGATGTGGAAAACATTATATAAAACACTTTGAATACGACTTGCGTTAATCTATAAATTCATGATTGATAATGTCTGCGAGTGGAAGATGAGTGAAGTCGGACGTTTTAAGACTTATGAATAAAAACATGAATTTCTCGAACCCCCTTCTCGATTACCACTTCGTGTACAGTTAGACTGATCTTAGGGAAAGATGGATTCATGTGTTCTCCAGTTATTAACCTTACGGTCAAGCGTCATTAGAAGGTACGATGAGGTTCTACGATAGTATGGGATTACCCAAGCAATTTTAATTCATGCACCCGCCTGATCACGATTTTAATATCGAATATCCGACTTGGATGAAGAGCTGCTCCTAATATATAACAGAAACAAGC